TAATTAGTCGGTTCGCAAAATTATAGTTTTTCATGCAAGAATACTTAACACAATTTAGTCTTTTTTAATCCATATAATGAAACCAGTTATGCATTCAAGCGATTTAACTTTGAAAACTTTCAACGTAGATCATTTTGAACCGTTTCGAAAAATTCATCAGAGCAAGCCACTCGGTAGATTAAAACTTTTTGTCTCTTCCTACCTAAAACCAACTTTCAGATAACGATGTTTTGAGCAAGCCATTCAAATGGTAACACTTTAAAACTTTGAACTTTATAGCAGGCCAATCAAGACTTTTGGAAAATTTAAATTTTTTTCAGGGCAATTTGGTTCCCATACAAACATTTTTTTTTTCAGAAAGCGTTTTATTTTAGAAATTTTTGCATCGGTAATCTATACCAAGCATCGGATAACCAAAACTTCAATTTTACCTAGCAGGCAAGTCAAATGATGAAGCTTTTTTGACAGTTTTGAGTTTTCTTACACTAAATTGATTCGCAAAAGCAATCTGCTCAAGCGTTGAAACTTGCAAATAGGTTAAATTATTTGAAAGAGCAAAACCAATCATGCAAAATTAACAAGGTCAAAAAAACAATTAAACCAGCCCAATCAGATACATTTTTTGAGAAAGCAAATCATGTCTTTAAAATTTTGAAATAAATAGTTTCATAATGAAGTGACTCGCATGAAAACAATGTTTTTGAGCAAGCGAGGTAATATGGGAAATTTTAAAGTTAATCTATATCTAAAAAATTTTTGGCGAATCTTCAGCTTTTCAAAATTCAACAATGGTATCCGCTTTACTATATTTTGAAAACAGAAGATCTGTTGACAAAAAATGAGTTTTCAACGTCTTAAAGAAAAAAAAAGAACTTGTTGTTGCGAGTTGGTTAGTTATAAACTGAGCTGTCTGCGTCTGCGCAAAAAATTAGACCAAAATTGGCAGTTGTTATCTATACTTGAAATTGATTTGAATAGATCTTGGCCAACAAACTGGTTTTTCAAAAATGATTGCATAATACTCTAGAAACCTAGTTTGGAAAACCTAGATTAAGTAAAGCAAGCTATTCAATCGTTGAAACTTCAAAATCATTCAATTAAATTTCTAAATTTTTTCAAAGCAAGATATTTAAGCGACTAGAAGTGAAACATTTCACATAGTTTTGGTAGCATGAATTAGTTCACACGAAGGTAAAGTTTTTGAAGCAAGCTATTAAGACGATTATATTTTGAAATGTCAAATTTTTTTCATAGCTTGATATTAAAAGCAAAATTTTCTTCGAGCGACCTATTGCGCAATTAAATTATGAAAAACTTCATAGCTTGAATCAGTTTAAATTGTTTCCATAGCTCGAAATGGTTTAAAAAGTTCTTGTAAAGCAACTTGATAAACGATGAAACTCTAAAACAGTTAAATTGTTTTTAATCGCTTGAATTAGTTAGCAAAAATTAGTAAAAAAAATTTGATTATACTAATGAGAAGTTTGAAGATTTGCAAGAAAGTCATTGAACGATGAAAATTTTTAACACTTCAAAAATTTTTGTCATAGCTTGATCGGTATGTTGAGAGCAAGTACTTTGTCCTCAAGCAGGCTAATGAGCTAAAGTTTGGAAACATGTCAGGTTTTTTGAATTGGTTAGCAAAAACTAAGCTTATTGCCAAACATTTTATTGACCGATGAAGCTTTGTAAAAGCTTTTGTGTGTTCTCATAGCTTGAATTAGTTCAAAAAAGTTAATCACGAAGCTGAAATTTCTCAAGCCAGTGGTGAAATTTGCAAATTGGTTGGCAAAAAAACTTAATTTGTTCAATGCAAGCAATTCAAGAAACAAAATTCTTATCATGTAAATTGTTTGTGCAAATTGTTTTAGATAAATTTAGGTTCTTGCAGCCAAACTATCCAAGTAATGAAATTTTTAAAGAATTAGGTTTGATTCACAATGATTGAATTGCATAGAAAATTGTTTCCTCAGCAAGAGACAAAATTTCGAACTTTTGGAGTTATTCCATGATAGGATTCGAGTAAAAAAATTAAGCTCTTCTGAAGAAAACCATTCTAAATTATTTGAAGATATATCGAAGCGTGAAAAACTGAAAATTTACTGAGCGAGCTAAAAAAGCGATGATCTTATAGTTTTTTGCTTTAGTTCAAACCGTGAATCGGTTTAAAATATAATCTAATTTTTCTTAGCAAGCTAATTAAGCAGTGAAACTACACAATTTTGTCAAAATAAACCGATTTGCATCAAGTTAAAACAATATCAGCAAGTAATTTTGGCGATGAAACTTAAACTAAATATTCAATTATATCCTATTATGTGAATCGGTTCACTAAAAGTTGATTAATTTGTTAGCAGGCTACACACGCGGTAAAATTTCAAAAAATGGCAAATTTATTCATGGAATGAATCAGTTCACAAAATTTTTCTTAGGAAACCATTTGAGCAACCAATATTTAAAATAAATCAGTTTCTTTCATAAAACAAACCGTTAAATTAGGATTAATTTTTTGAGCAAGCTACCTGAGTAATGAAACTTTGCAAGGTTTCAAGTTATTTAATCGAGCAAATTGGCTAGCAAAAAAAATAGTCATTTGAAGCAAGCAATGAAGTTTGGATAATTTTCAAGTAGATTCAATGAGTGAGCCAACGCGCAAAAAATGTTTTTTTTTTAGAAGTGATGAAAAAGGATGAAACTTTGCAAAATTCAAAAATTTTAAAGAAATAAATCGGTAATCTACAAGCTTAGGTTTGTTGAAGTCAGCTGTTTGAGCAATGGAATTAATATTTGATTTTAATTTATGGAGCAAATCAGTTGGCAAAGTTTTTCTAAGCAAGCTAATCCAGCAAAAAAGTAGCATTGTTTCAAGTTATTTCACAGAATCAATGTGTTATTCTGAGTTATTTTTCATGGTGACGCGATTTGCAACAAATTATTTTCCAAAGCCAGCGATTGAAGCAATAAACATTTCAAGCTGCATTGTTTCGTATCGCACTATGCAGTAAGACTTTAACATAATTCAAAGTTTTGTAGAGCAAGTGGGTTTGCGCGAATTAAATTTCTCAAAAGGAAGTTGCTGTTTTGTATGCTCGTTTCGATATCAAGTTGAAACCTTGCGTACATAGCGCATTCTGACTTTCAATTTAATACTTCAGTTGGTTCATTCGCTTTACTTTTTCTAATTGCAAGCCTGTTACGGAGACTTTATGGTTATTTTTAGTTTTAACCGATGTTTACTTTTTGCGCTTATTTCGAAATTCGCATAGAAAACATATCCAATAGACAGTTAGAAAAAAGTCAATGAACGCAAATAAACAAAACAAAATATCGACTTAGAGAAATCAAAAATGCGATAGAGGGGTCCCATTAATTGCAACCAAATGAAGGTTTAAATAAATTTAGATGCCGCTCAACGAAAAAATCATGTGTCAAATCATTTTTCCTGAAGAACAAACATAGTCAATCAAAGATTGGAAAAGAGTAATGAGCGCAAGTAAACAAAAAAAAACAAAAAAAACACTTGCTTGAAAAAATCTTAACTTTCGAAATTCAAAGAAAAAAAATAGTTGCCATTTAAGCTCTTGGAATTTCTAGAACGATTTATGATTGGCGCTTTGTTGATAACATTAACCAAACTTGAGAAAACTGGATCAATATGTAAAGCTTTTAATCCGCTGGAAATCTAAAAATTAAATTCCACTTTCGAAACTAGAAATTGTTCATGTTTTTAACGCCATTTCTACGTTCGCGTTTTGAGAGTGCTATTTGCGTCACTTTCAGCAGATGAATTTCAATTGAACTCAAAAAGTGCATTATACCTAAGTGCATCAATATTTTAAGCTTTTTTTCCTGAAAAAAAAATCAGCAAGATTTATTTAAGAGTCTTGACTACGTTCATTACTCTTAAACCCCAATGACCTATAAAACAGTCTGTAATGCGTTCATTACTTTTAAAAATCGAGAGAACAAATGCCCTCTGAATTCATTGTTGTACACTTTAGCAAACATTGGCTGCCAATCTACTCAAATGAATGACTAAAAAATACCAAGCAACCTGAAATTTTTGAATATCGTATAAATTTTGAAATAAAATTTCATTGTGCCTTGTTTAATTGAAAAAAGTGGCTCTCATTTTTTTTGGCTCAAGCTCCTTCAAATTAGTATACTAAAGCCAGACAACATTTTAATTTTAAAAATTTAAGGCTGAAATCTAAATTGGATCCCACTAAAGGTTACACAGAGGCGAAGCAGCTCTTCGCAAACACTTGCGAGAACACAGCCAAAAAGCAGCTCAATCAAGTGAAGTAGGAAAAAACGGAAATAAGCCTAGAATGAGCAAAAACTCGGCTACGTGTCGGATTCTAATCTGCGACCCAGCAAATTCGAGTCTCACGCACTAACCACTCAGCCACGAATGCATTAAGTCCCCAAAAACTAGCCGCCAATAACGAAGCTACATATGCTCATAAAAGCCAATTCGATGCAGAAAAAGTAGCAACAAATACAAAAGGACACAATTTTGCATGTAATAAATTGCAAAGTATAAAGCTAAATAATGTATAGATTGTGCATTTCAAACGAATTGCGAGATACATAGTTGGAAAAATTCTGAAATCGAACTTTTTATCGTTGTACTTCTGTTTTAAACAAATAACTTTTTTCGGTTCATTTGATAATTGAAAAATGCATCAGCTATATTAACTTTTTACTAATCAAATGTCAAAGCACATATTATACTGCTACCTGTAACATTTAGTAGCATTTTTATACAAAAGTGCCACCAAAAAAGCACTTTTATTTGCAACCTAGGTTGGAAAAAAAAGAAAGTTCATACTTATACACTTTGCTTCGCAAGTGTAATCAACAGGGACCATTGTGGGTGCTGACTGGAGAATTACTAATGAATCTTCATTAGTGAGACCCGGCGCGGTGAAGGAATGCTCTCCAGTCTTACGTTTTACGAGAGATCAACTAAATCCTTTCAAAATACTGTTATCAACACTAAATTCTAGTTGTAGTCAAAACTGTACAAATCGACAATTGCAAATTTACATTTTATTTTGTACAAAGATTAGCGTAACATTTTCAAAATACAAATTACAGATTGAACTTATTTGCAGGTTTGAACATCCGAGCTTGATTGGCATCAACTTTGATTGTTCCGTTTTTACCATCATTCAGTAGCACTGTTCTCTCGGCGAGACTTTCCTGCATTTCGTCAGCATCATTTAACATTTGCAGTGATCCTTGTCTTTGAATCGTTGACGCGTTATAACTTGGCTTTCTATACCCAACAGATGATTCCTCTCCCAAGACTTTGCTACCATTTCCATGCCAATTGTTTTCTTTCGAGAAATTGGTCAATCCTTTGCTGTTAAAAGCTCTTTGTTGTAAGCTGCCTGTTGATGACACAAGTTGGCTCTCGATTGACGAGCTGCATGCTCTTTTGTTAAAGTTGGCGTCCAGCTGAGGTGTGAAAAACTGAGATCTTGGTACCACAGGCGTAAATGCACTACGCGAACTTATCAGATCCAACGCCTTCGGTCTTATTTTGTCGACATTCGTTTTCACTTGAGCAGTTGTGAAAAACTCAGATGTATCTGGTATGTCGTAGTTCAATTTGGACATCGGTACCAAATCAGTTACCAAATTCGGATTGGCTTTACAGGTATCAGTAAGCGATCCTTCATTCAATTTACGATAAAAATCCATCGATATTTGTTGAGATGTGCTGTCATCGGAATCGATCTTTTTCGAAGCACTTGCTTTAGCGCTTGGTGTGTTGTCAGAGGAATTGAACCTGGCCAACTCATTCAGTCTGTCTCTGTTTCGGCGTCCCCTGTAACTTGAAGTTGAGCTGAGGGTGGTGGCTGTTCTCGCCGAAGAGTTCCGAGTGAGAGTGGCACTGGCAGCCGAGTCACTTTCGTTCTCCACAAACCAGTTCCGGTTTCTCTCCATGCCCTGGAATACATCTGCAGCATCAGATTGGCTCTCTAAACAGTCAGATCACAAGTTTATCGTACAATCTTACTTCTTGACGGAATATGGATCTAGCTTTTCATCAATTTTTGACCGTCAATACACTTTTAATAAACTAAAATTGAAAAAATGTTCGTTGCTTTCAAGACAAGACGCTTACTATTATGATAATGCTTAAAACTTCTTCATTCTGAGCAGGGGCGGATTTGGGGGAGGGGGGGGGGGGGGGGTGCACGACTTCTCCTCGTGGGTTCGATCCACTGCCAACCCTTTGTACTATTTTGAGATATCCATTTTGGCTGACTGACCCTAAAATTTTTCTAAAGGCGCCAAAATATACTTGTTATGAAGGGGGAGCGCGCGCCGAAAAAACGCGATTTTTTGGTCAAGTTTTTCGAAAAAAAGTGCCTAAAAACGCCTTATTTGGAGTGCTATTTCAAACAATCGCCTGCGGCGCAGAAAATTTGGTCAAAATAGTCTCTTTATGGTGATTTGGTCGACCTAAAAAAAGGTCAAAATTTTCGATTTTTTTTTTTTGAAAATTCGCTCCCCCCTCGAGAAAATCCCAGATCGGCCCCTGATTCTGAGAACATTCATCATTGCACAGCAGAGATTCTCCAAGCAGTAATGACTCACTAAGTCTGTTTAATTCAAACCCGCTGCCTACAATCTGTTCCTCGCAGGTATACACCACGGAAACACTGTTGCAAGTCTGTGGATGGCTCTGCGCTGGTGCAGTCACTTCTTCTTGTTCTAATTCCTCGTCATTTATAACATCACTTGACTTCTGTGGTCCTCTCAATAGCTTCGAAAGAACGTGCAACACTTGCTCGATACTTTTAAAATCTCGTCTGGACATTTCGAGCAGCAATCTTCCCTGAGATGCTCTTGATATCTGAATTCCAATTTGACAAAGCAATGGCTCATGCTTGTCGTCCCAGGACTGTTCGTTCAACTCAACTAACACAGAAACTTTTTCTAAGCCTGCATTTGCGGCCTCTGTCTTTTTGAAAAGACATTTCAATACCTCTTTCAGTCTTACAACTCGTTCAACCTCATAATTTTCCATAAGAGTTCCGATAACACTGTGCAACTTACATTTCTTCAGTTTAATGAGCAAGTCTATCAACTCAGCGAAGAACGCCAACCGCTTAGCGTAGTCGACCACAGGGAAGCATAGGGAATTCTTGTCAATTTTATATCTGAGACTTATCAAAAATGGTGCACAATTATGGAGCCAATTTGAGCCAGTTGATAGTTTTTCCAGAGAACAGACAACTGGATTTCTTTTGTTGCTAGCGAGACGACTAGCAGCTTTGTTCAGTAGTTTCAATATCAATGGCAGATTACACTTGCTGCTTTCAAACTCGCTGCATGGTTTCAGAACGTTAGCAAACTCCTGGAAAATGGGTCGATTGTTGAAATTTAAACTACAGTAGGCGTTACTTTGAGTGATATTGAAAAGATAGGGAAATGTGAGGAAGTCAGAGACCAGATCGGAGCTCTTTCTTATCTGCCGCAAAGCATAACATGCAGCAGCGTTCACAGATTCTCCTTCCAGAAGACAACTTGTAAAATGGTGATAAAAAGAGACCAACACATTGGAGTTACTATTCGAAGGCAGGTGGGATAAAAGTACTGAACTTGCACCCGAGTTCAGTAAGGCACAACTCAGATAAAACAATCTCCGGCAGTAGGAGTCAAACTCAAAATTGCAATCATTGGCACTTGGAATGAGCAGAACTATGTTTTTATTCGCGATAGATAACGCCTGTAGCTCTGAGACATGCAATGATTCGCAATGCTTCTCCGAAGACGACTGTGATGAGCATGCATTTCGAGTAAAGAATAATTCTTGGAAACTTGAGTCGCTTCCATCGTCGGTTTCGACAATTGTGATACAAATCACTACCATTTGGTATGAATCTTTTTCTGTAAGTACTCTGAACAGAATCTGCTTGCAGTCAGGTGACTCACTATCGACCCATGCTGAACTGCTGCTTTCGTTTTCAGTTCCGCAAAGTCTAGACATAGTTTCGTATACTTTCAGTTCGTCACACCGCCTCGATTTGGGTCCGAACATGACAACAAGCTTATCGTCCATCTCGCCTTGTTCCTCGTTTACATCATTACCGAATTCTCTATCGGGCAGAGAAAACGAATCAAGTTCAAAGCATGCCCTCGTTTCAATTTCGAACACATCACTCAAATACCTTCCTGAACTCAAACGAAGCAACTTGAATGGTACAACGGAATGTTCGTGGTCCAAAAACACGACTAGCCGAAGCGTAGTCGTATAGTGCTCCAGTAAAGCAGCCTCTATAGTTTCAGACAACATAATAGTGTTCCAGTTTTCCACGCCATGTTTCCAGTCAAGTTTACTTTGAGCCGCTAGAAAGGAAAACAGTTGCGAACACGTTTCTCCACCGGATATCTTCGTCATTTGTTCTAAGTTTTCCAAGTTGATAGAGAAACATTCGCGTACATTTTTGTTGAATATCCAAATAAGTTCTACTTTATCTGCGCAATGCATTGCCATGTACAGGTTTTGCTCGTCTTCTAGGCAGCGATTCAGGAAACGGTACGATTTCTCGAGAAGCAGATCGATTTTGGATGTTGTGAACATGGAGACCATTGGTTGCATCTCATTTGCGTTGAGGTTTAGTGTCCGACTTTTTAGAAATTTAATAACGTCACTGAACACCAAGGATCTCTTGTAATCTGTAAATATATGCTATGGATAAAAATGAATCCAGTGGTACAAGTATGATAATTGGGTCCCACAAATTAAGATGAGTCCGTTCCTGAAGAAAAAATTTTAGGCCTTAAAAACTTCGAAAACATGTTTCGCGTTTTTTTTTTTCAAAAATTGCGGGACCCATCTTTCATACTGGCTTTTTCCTGGGATCCAACTATCACACTTTTCATAAAAACTATCATCAAACACCAAGCCAGTTTTATTTGAATCGATTATACAGGTAAAACTTTATAATTCCAAGGAAATTGAATATATGGCACATTGTGTGGGTATGAATTTTTCATTTTACGTACAACTATGATAGACGGGTAGGTTCCAAAAAAGTAACCGCATCCATTATTATGGATAAGACGTCTTAACTTAGCAAATATTCAATTTAATGGAAAGCTACGGTATAGAAACATGCTCACCCAAATACTCGAAAAAGTTTGGAGTCGTTTTTTTTGCGAATCAGTCGTGATCGTGAAGCTTCCCCCAAACCAAAGCTTTCTATTCCCTTTTACCCCGCTGCGAATTTTTACAAAAAAAAAATGTTCGCATTGTCTAATTGTTACAAAAGTTTGCATGTAGACTAATTAGGCTATGACAAACATATTTGGTCTTTCTACTTGACCTTGTAAATAGCCCGGAACACCATAAAATTGATGCTTGCGAGATGAAAAGAATCCGGAAGCGCAAAAAAATATGGGGACAGCCGGGAATTGAACCCGGGACCTCTCGCACCCTAAGCGAGAATCATACCACTAGACCACTGTCCCATCAAATTTCTGCAATACAGAGCAGAATTCAAACTGGTTCTATTTTAACAGCGCTATTGCTCTTTTACCAAACGCTTAAATATAAAAAGACGCTACGAACGAACCTTTTTCGACAGTAAGACCGACTTTAATTTCACAGCTGCTCACAAACAACTGGACAATCTCATGAATAGTTTCTGGGGCGACTCTTGCCAAAAGTTGCTTGTCTATACTATGCTCCACAATTACACTACACTTGCTTGTTTCGTCTAGAAACAGAAGACATTTGGCTTTGTTGACAGTCCAGCTCATCTTTTCCAGCCACTGTTCAGTGGATAGATCAGACGTGGATTCCAGATCAACTAGATATGCGATGGCATGGTCGTAATGCATCAATGCATTCTGGTAGTCTCCCAGGTCGAAGTTGACCGCGGCTAACTTGGAGGTTGCACTGTGTTTCACCTCAATGTCGTCCAGTTCACAGCTCAGCTCCAAACACTCATTCAGTAATGATAGGCTCTTCTCTTTAGAAATATCTAAATGAAAGCAACCCCGGTTTGAGTATAATATTTGGGTCAAGCGAGGGGTCTTTTCGGTTATACCCCCCCCCCCCCTAAATCATAAAAAATAGAAACTTTTCTTACAAAGTTTGACTGATTTTCTTTGAGGGCTGATATCCCGAGCGTTAAATCAAGCTGGAAACTGGCAAAAAATGCTAACTTAACGACAATTAAAAGACGCATTTAGCATCCTTTTAATGAAATTTATGCTGAGAAAAATTGGAAAAAGTCAGTTTGAGGATCACTTAAGTAAAAACTAGCAAGCGTGTCTCCACGATCAATTGCTCAAAAGTTTTTCTAAGCAAGCTAACCAAGCCATGAAACTTTGAAAATTTTCAAGCTAATTCACGAAGGGAGTTCGATGGCGAAAAATTAAAGGTTTTCTCCGAAGCATTTCGAGCTATGAAATATTTCATGTTAGCTCATAAAGCAAAACGGATGGCGAAAATTTAAGTCTCTCCAAGCAAGCTATTACAACTAAAATAACGTTATTTCATGAAGCGAACCAGTCAGCAAAAATTGAAAAAGTTTCTTTATTGAAAATTTCAGATTTGATTCAAGCTAATCAAGCGATTAAAATTTGAAACATTTCAAGTTGTTTTCAGAGCAAAACAGTTTTCTTTTAAGTTTTCCTACGAAAACTATTCAAGCAATGAAACTTTGAAATTTATTTCACGAAGGGGATCGGATGGCGAAAAGTTTTAATTTTTCAATTGAGGTCATTAGACCGAGAAAACTTTGAAATACTTCAAAATTTGAAGTATTTCAAAGTTTTCTCGGTTCCTAAGCAAGCTATTCAGGCCATGAAACTTCGAACTATTTCAAGTTATTTCACTAAGAGAATCGGATGGCTAAAAGTTTTAATTTTTCAATTGGAGCCTTTCAACCGGAGAAACTATGAATTATTTCAAGTTATTTCAGAGACCGAAATGGTTCGCAAACAGATAGTTTATCAAAGGCAAGCAGTTCAAGCTATGAAGATTTGAATTATTTCAAGTTTATGCTATAGACCGATTCGGTTCGCGAAAACTGTTTTTTCTTAAGCAAGCTATTCAACTATAAAATCGGATGGCGAAACGTTTTTTACTGAAGCCTTAAGAGTGACAAGATTTTGAAATATTTTAGGTCGCTTGATAAGGCGTAACAATTTGCAAAATCTCAGTTTTTCTTAGTAAGCTATTTAAGCAAGGAAACTTTGAAACAATTCAGGTTGTCTCATACAGCTAGTCAGTTCACGGAAAAAAATTTTCTTAAGCAAGACATTCAATCTAACAAACTTTAACATTTCAATATACTTCATAAAGCAAATTGGTTGTCAAAAAAATTTCTTAAAATCTCTTCAAGCGATGGAAATTTGAAAAACTTCCAAGTTGTTTTTTAAAACGAAAAGATTTTCCGAGAAGTTTGAATTCTCCAACGCAAGATATTCAAGCAAGGAAACTGTGAAACTTTTCAAATTTTTCATTAAGGGAATCGGATGCCAAAAAATCTAAGATTTTTTATTGCAGCCATTGAAACGATGAAATATTGCAGGTTGGTTGTTAGACCGAATAAACTCACAAGAAGTTTTTCTGAGGGAACTAATCGAGCGATGAACTTAGGAAACAAATTAAGAATATTTCTTCATCTAAATCAAATGGTTTCGCGAACATTAAAGATTTACTATGAAGGCTGCTCAAGCGATGAAACTTTGAATTAATTTAAACTTTTTCATAGAGCGAAAAGTTTTTGCAAGAGTTAAAGATTACTATGCTAACTATTCAATCAATTTTTCAGGGTTTTTAAAATATTTCAAGCTATTTCATAGAGAGAGTCAGTTCACACAAACAGTTATTCTCAGGCAAACTAATCAAATAACAAAAAAATTCAAGTTGTTTTATTACATGAATAAAGTTTCACCAAAAAAGCAAAGTTTTTCTCAGTCAATATATTAGGGCTATGACAAATTTCAAGCTATTTGATAGACTGAATCGGTTTCGAACAAGTTTAAGGTTTCGTAGGCAAGCAGTTCAACCTATGATTTAGTTCAAATAATTTCGAAGATCGAATTGAATTGCGAAATTTTAAGTTTTTCTAGGCGAGCTATCAAATTTGGAAAAAATCAGTCCACAAAAAAACATGAGGCAAGCTAATCATTCTAACATTTTTCTTAGGCAAGCTAATCAAGCTAACAAAATTTTGAATTATTTCAACTTGTCTCATGAAGCGAATCGGTTCACTAAAAAACTCAGTTTTTCTAAAGCAAATTTATCAAGATATGGAAAATTTGAAGATATTGCAAAGACCGAATCGGTTCGCGAAAACTTTAATTTTTTAAAAGTTTTTCTAGCAAGCTACTCAAGCGATGAAGCTTTGAAATATTTCAAGCTAATTCAAAAAATGAAACGGTCCGCGAGAAGTTTTACTTGATCTAATCAAGCTATTCAACTAAGAAACTTTGAAATTATTCAAGTTATTTCATAGACTTAATCAGTTCGCCAAAAGTTCTAATTTTTGAAGCAAATTATTGCAGCTCTTAAAATTTGATATGTTCAATTTAATTCAAAGACCGCGAATCGGTTTGCTAAAAGTTAGCTTTTCTAAAAGCATGGTGGTTGCTTTTTAATTGATTCGTTTCACACTGAAAAGAATCTTGAAACGCAAAAGTTAGACAAAGCAAAAAGCGGACAGGTACTGTCTAGCCTGGAAGTTGAATCGAATTCATCTAGAGTAATCTAGCTTACGTTTAGAAAATCTGAAGCGTTAATTTGATTTTGACTCAAGTATTTAGATTATTCAATATTCGGAAGATTTTCTAAAAATGTTGAGTACAATAATCGGGTTTAATCATTGCTCTTTATAGAAGCTAAAACATGGCATCAACTTTTCTATCACTCGTTTTCTTAGAATGAACGTTTTTACTATGAGCTAATCGAGCGAGGAACTTCAACATAATCCAAAAAATTATAATTTAAAATAAAAATTTCCTACGGAAGCTAATCAAGCAAGAGAACTTTGAAAAATTTGAGGAAGCTTCATAGAGCGAATCAGTTGGCGAAAACTCAGTTTTTCTTAGCAATCTATTTAAGCGATGAAACAATTCAAATCGTTTAATACGGCGATTCAGTTATCGGAAAAGTTATGTTTTTGAAGCAAGCTATTCAAGCAATGGCACTTTGAAATCTTCCGAGTTGTTTAAAAGAGCGTATCAAAATGCAAAAACTCTAAGGTTTTCTAAGCAAGTTATTCAAGCTATGAAATATTTAAGTTAATTCATGAACCGAACTGGATGGCGAAAAATATCAGTATTTTTAAAAAGCCAACTCAGCTATGAACCTTTGAATTACTTCAAGATATTTCGCGAAGCAAATCGGTTCACGGAAGTTTTTTTTATACAGCAATCTATTCAACCTATGAAAAGTTTCAAGTTTCATAGCTTTACAAAAAGTTTTTCCGAGCAAGCTATTCAAGCAATGAACATTTAAAACTTCAACGTATTTCCTAGACTGAATCGGTTCGCGAAAAGTCTTTCCTAAGCTTGAATTTATTAAAAGTTTGAATTATTTCAAGTTGTTTTCATAGACTGCAAGTTATTCCAGCTCTCAAACTTCTATAAATTTCAAGCTATTTCATAGACCGCTAATCGGTTCGCGAATTTTTTTTGAAGCAGGCATTTTAAGCTATGAAAATTTGAAATACTTAAGTCATTTCATAGACCGTGAATGGGTTTGCTAAAAGTTGGGTTTTCTAAGCATAGGGGTTGCTGTTTTAGTTGATTAGGTTTAGACTGAATTAAATCCGTAATTTCCCAAAGTTCCGGACTTTAGAATATTCGATGGTTGCTCGGTTCTAAGCCTTCTTAAACGTTGTGCTCGGTGGTATTTCTTAACCATTGCGCCTTATGAGTACGAAAAATATGCCATTCGATTAACATATAGAAGATAGATGGTTCGCCGTACCAGCCCCACAATAATATAGTGTATTTCCTAGTAACAGTGTCCCAATTATATAAAAAAATGTTTCATTTCATTTTTTCATAATTTAGGGGGATGTAACCGAGAAGACCGCAAGCGAGTCAAGAAAAAGAAACGGTTAAAAGACCCGTAACTGAGAATCTGAGGCTCAAAAACAAAACAAAGAAATTCACGAGACGAAAACTCGGGAAGCAAACAAGATTTCTGACGGCCCAAGATATTTAATAGCTCAAAAACCGAAAGTACTTGAATGCGTACAAATTATCAAAAAAGTTATGCAGACAATCGGGTCATTTTACTTAATCCGCCCAAAAATCAATATTTCAACATCTTGAACAAACTATTTAGCTTCAATCTGATTGGCTAGAGTTAGCCAATCAAAATTCAGCACTATGTCAAAATGTTTCATTCACAATTTTAGCCTATATTAACCTAAATAACCAAAAAAAAAGATTAAATTCAATTAAGATGCAATTTTACCCAGACAAAAAAAACACAAAAAAGCTACAGGAAAAAAATGATGACTACCTTCACATGAGCTAAATACTAAAAATTTGGCCTAATTAAAAATCGGCTAAAGAAACATAGCCAACAGATAGTTGGAGAAGAGTCAAGAACTTCAAGAGAAGAATCGAAGGATCTACTTAACAATCCCTCCCTATGGTATCTACTAAAGACTCTTCATACCTGAGAATTCAAACTTTGCTGTATTCTGATTAGAACAAATATATGGCCCTAAAGCTCTTTGCATTTTATGAAAAATTTATGATGAACACTTTTAAGATAAAATCATCTCAATTTGAGAAAACTTAATCAAATTTTTTTTTTCGCTGGGCGACTCTGAAAAGTTAAATCCACTTTCGAAACAAGAAGTCGACTAAGTTTTTGGGGCTTTTACAGTTTCGCTGTTCGAGTGGAGTGTACCTTCCTTTCAAAAAAGAAATGCACTAACTTAAAAAAAATCACAAGTCAAACCGCGAAAAAACAAAATTACGATGGAAAATAACCAAGACGTATACAAGAGTATTCACTACGTTCATAATTTAAGAAAAATATTCCCGTTTGTTTAAAGCAAACCAATCAATGCGTTCAGTATTTGGTTTTCTTTCACTGCCATAGTACAATGAATAATACTAAATCGGAAAATTGAGAATTTGGGCGAAATAAGTAAAAATACCCACGCTTCGTAGCATTTATAAAAAGCGACTATTGGCAGCATGCGACGATTTGTAGTGGTAACAACTTTGATCAGATAAAAAATACGATGAAAAGGTTTAAATAAAAAACTAATTAATCAGTTAGACATAGTCAATCGAAGATTGGAAAAGAGTAATGAAAGCAAGTAAACAAAAAAACACTGACTTTCCTGAAAAAACCTTAACTTTAGAAATTCAAAGAAAAAAATAGATGCCCTTTAAGCTCTTTGAATTTCTAGAACAATTTATGATTGGCGCTTTTTTGATAATATGAAAAAATAGATGCCCTTTAGAAAACTGGAACCCAACTTGAGAAAACTGGATCAAAAGGTAAAGTTTTTGTTCCGCTGTGAAATCTTAAAAATAAATTCCACTTTTGAAACGTTTTTTCGAGCCAATTCTACATTCGTAATTGGAGAGTGCCATTTACGACACTTTCAGCAGATGAATTTCAAAAGTACATCAACATTTTAAGAATTTTTCCTGAAAAAAAAATCAGCAAGACCTATATAAGAGTCTTCACTACGTTCATTACTCTTAAAAACAAGAACTGAACGAGAAGCCCTCCAATTGCTTGAGTATATGCGATGGTGACAACAAAAATTTCACACGTTTTCTTCTCACATAGCCGAACAGATGTACTAGTTAGATTGTTTTGCCGGTTAAGATGAATGAAGCGAACAGATGAATCAAATGAGTCGAAACGAAGGCGTTAAGATGATACTAATGTCCAATGGCCCGAATCTGTATTGTTAATTACCTCAAACTAATCAATTCGAAACTGATGTTTAACTTGAATTTTATTCTATCGCTCAATTTTAATATCCCCAAAACCGCAAAAGATACCGCTCAATTTGCACGGTTGATTTGATCACCGCAATTGTAATTAAACATTCTGCTAATATCGCTTGCTACAAATTAACGCGTGGTGCGAATTGTTGCCTTTTAAAATTGCGACGAATCCTCACTTGCGACCAATAGTCGGTTGCGACGAAACATCGCAGCGCGAAAAGTTGGATCTGAAGTTCTTTGATTGCATTTCTATTAGTCGCTTTCGTTTCACATTTTTTCTCGATTACAAATATCATCTTTTGGAACTGCATTGCTCCTAAGTTAGGAAACCATTTGAATTCAGCAACGAGAGACCCTTAAATTTCATTTTAAAAAAAATGAGCGTTTTTTTTTTTCAAAAATGCAGATACGTCAATTTTGGGTCATGAGCAACAGCCTTTTTTCCCTTCATCTAAATAGCTTTATAGAGGAGGGTTAGGGATGTTGACTTCAACCTATTTGATCAAGGGAGAAAAAAATAGTCAAGGGGTTGGTTAGTGTTTTCAGTTTTGAACCATTTTCAAATACCCCAACATTTAAAAAAAAGCGTCTCACTGGAATGGAAGAGGAAGCTGCCGTAATACAATTGAGTGATTGCCAATTTAGCTTTGTCATGTGCTTCGGCTGCCATGCGAATGGCCATCTGGTAATAGTTGTCAGCCATCTGATTATCCTGCTGCAGTTTGTCGTAACAAATACCAAGCGACAGACTCGAATCGTTATCGCGCCCGGAGTCCCCTCCCGTCAGTTCCAAACTTTTCCGCAACACTGGAATTGCTTCTTGAAACCTAGCATACATATCACATCAATTAATATGAAAATTTATGCGCTATTTTAAACAGGGGCGGATCTAGGATTTTCTCGAGGGGGGGGGGCGGATTTTCAAATAACTTTCCAAAATTTTGACGACCTTTTTTTTTTTTAGGTCGACCAAATTGATTTTTCGAGCTCTCCCAAAGCACTGTTTTGCCCCTACTTTGGCTCATTTTCTGCGCCGCAGGCAAATTTTTGAAAAAACAGTCAGAAAAGCCGTTTTCGGGCAATTTTTGAAAAATTTTGACAAAAAAATCGCGTTTTTTTTGGCGCGCGCTCCCCCTCAAAGTTAGTAGATATTGGCGCCAAAGGCGCCTTTAGAAAAATTTTAGGGTCGGTCGGCCAAAAATGGATTTCTGAAAAAGTATCAAAGGGGGGACCCTTTGGGTCGGCAGGGGGTCGAATCCCTGAGGGGGGGGGGGGCGTCCGCCCCCCCCCCTAAATCCGCCCCTGATTTTAAATATTATTCATTCACTTTGTAAGAAAAAAGCATTAGCAGCATTGATAATAAGTCACATACCTTTGAAGGTCCATGAGAAACGATCCATAATCGTACAAAGTGGAACACAAGAATGATTTATCCACGAGAAACTTCACGTTGGGACTGCACTTGGAAATGTCACTTAGATTAAGATTATTGTAGTTTTCGCAGAGCGACAGCAGATATTTGAACACTGTCAGTGCCTTCTCATCTTCGTTCTCCAAAACTAACACATCCGCCATGTTATGCAATGCTTTCGCCGCATCTATCCACCTGTGTTGAGATTCACAAAACTTAACTAAAGTCTGATACTGCTCCACGACAGCCCTGACATCTTCCAGTTTCTGGTAACAACTTGCTATACTTAGGTTCACATTGATATGCCGAGTGACATCAGAGGCCACTTGAATGTTCAAATTGGAGCAGTTTCCCACTACTTCGCTTTGCGACTTGGTTCCTTCTCCTTCCTCTAGAAGCTGAAGCACTTTCTTGTACGTCTCAATTGCAACCTTAAACTCCTGGTCGCACATCTCGCAATCGGCCTTCGAGTTGAAAACATCCAGGACAAGCGTCTTGTCATTCAACACCTGGGCTAGTTTAAGAGCCTCGTTGAAATATTGGGTGGCTACGTGGAAGTTATTGAGCTTCATCTGCACTCGTCCCAAATAAAGCGTGCTCTGGCACTGTCCGCATAGATCCCCGTGGTCTTTGCACAAATTGAGCATTTTAGTGAAATTCAGGAGTGCCATGTCGTACACCAGCATCTTCAGATTTACAAATCCCAAAGAACAGTTCGCTTCGATCTCCAACTCAACTTCGCCAAAGTCTACTGACAACTGCAACTGTTGCTCGTAGAACGTTTTCGCTGCCTCCATTTCCTTCGTTAGTACACACACATCTCCAATTGACCCTAGAGCTCTGAAGACACTTCTGTGGTCGTTCCTATTGGAGCATATCTTGTAGAACTTCTCGTAGCACTTTCCAGCCACTTCGAATCTGCCCAAGATCTGATTGAGAAGTCCTAAATTGTAGAAAATCTTGTGTAGGTTGGGTTGGTGGGGTAGATTCTTGGAGACGTTGAGGCTGTGGAGGTAGTAGCGAAGGGAGCTTCTGAATTCCTCCAAGCGGAAGTAGATGTAACCAAGAGTGAAAAGAACACTACACTGAACGTCCTCGTCGCATTTTTCGGCCACAAGCAGCACCTAAAACCAACTTTATTTCCTCCCGGCTTTTTAAACGTCCCCGCCATCTATCCCTAATCAACTACATTTAATTCAATTTTTAATTAAATTTTCGATCACCTGATGTAATTACAACTTACATTAGCCGGTATCCATTTTAAGAATTTTTACAAAATGTCGACTGCACATATAGCCTTGTAAATCCCTGGTTACCAGAATGTCTAGACCAACCCTACACGCTATAACGAAAGATGTTCAATTGATTTCTACGTAAACATCAAGCTGCCTCTTACCTGTTTGAAATATGGCAACGCTTTGCTGAACTGCTCAGTAGACGCATAGAACTTCCCCAATGTGAGGTGGGCGTTCATTATCAAGGGAGACGAGTTCTCGGAGGGAGGCGATATAGAGTTAGCCAGCGCGACATGCTTCAGCAGAGAGGTCTCCGCATTTGAGTGCTCTTTGCTGCACTGGTAGGCCAGACCTAGATTGCCAGTGGCCACGCATTGTCCAACCATATCTCTTTTCTCCCCACTCAGTTCGATTTCCATCGTGAAATACTTGATAGCACCTTCGTAGTTCTTCAGCTCCACGCAGCAGCTAAACCCAACAAGTTTCTTTTCATTAAATGAACTAGATCTTCACCAAAACTCTAGATACCCACCGGAAAAAAGGTAAACTTTTTGCTTCGCTTGAAAGATCAGTGGTTCGAGATCCCATCCCAGTCGTTAAAAATGCATACAGAGAAGATAGGGTATTAGAGTAACAACAACAACCGAACAAAAATCAAACACAGAGGCGAAGCGGAGCTTCGCACCACTTGCCAAGCAACACTAACATAAAATAACAAGACAGCTCGTACCAGCGCAAATTCCTGAATGTTCCAGCTGCCTTTTGAGGTCTATGGAGCAGTAATAACATGAAAAAATAAGATGTCAAAAAGAAAATGAAATTTTTTTAAATTAGATTTATTTTGTGAAAATCATCCCCCATGCGCCATATAAAGTACAAAGTGATAAAATTAGCTTGTAGTAACATATCAATTATGGCAAATAATCTTCCTTCAACCAATTTGGAAAGATTTCTATGACGGATTAAATCTCCGCTTACGCGTTAATAGCGCGTTAATTGTCCCAAATTGGGCCAAAATAGCTATCTTTGATCATTTTTCGTAAAGTTATGGGGGTTTACAGGTAAAAAATCTTTTCAAATTTAAGCTTAAGACAACAATACCTTTTGAATGATTCAAAAATTCGTCAAAAATGGCTATTTAAAAACTCGAAATTTGTCTGAAGAAAAAACCCACCCCGAGCACAACTATTCCGTTACTTTCGTTACGAAAGTCGGAACAAAAACATTCAAAGCCGAAAATGAAAACTTTTCAGAAAAAAATAGGTCAATCAAACTTTCATGTCTCGATAGAAGTTCATTCCAGCAAACACCCCAAACGCTTAAATTTTAAATCATCAACAACGGAAAAAAATTTACGAAAAGAAACAAAGCCGACAATTTTTGAGCAGGCACAAGTTGAGCCGAAAATATTATTTCATGAAAAAATGTTTAAAATCCCACCTCAAAGAACAATGGACAACAATTGCACTTGCAACTACAATGGAAAATGCTTACAGCAAAAAAAATCAGTGATGTGGCAACTAAGCCGACCATCTTTGAGCAGACACCAACTGAACCGGAAAATTTTTTTTTAAATTAGAATGAAATTAGAATGAACAACCTTTGCACGTGCAACTAGAAAAAAAAACTGTCTACAACACAAGCTAAATCGGTTGTGGCAATTTAGCCGACAAAGCCTGAGCGAACAAACGAAAAACACTTCATTTTTCTCGGATTTTTTTTCAATTTCCTTGATACTGAAAAAAACTAAGATCCGGCCATAACGACTCCAACCCCAGAGTAAAAAAAGCAACTGCTTTACCTCCAGGCCAAGTGGGAAGCAACCTGGAACATGCTAAGAGAAGGTAAGAGGAGACGAAGAAAAGAAAATAGAAAAGAAGTGATTCAACTGATTTTGTTAAACTTATTGTTAACCCAAAAAAGTCCATATTCCAGATTAATAAGTCTTGCTTATCGCAAGCGTAAGCAGCTTGTATATTGGCCCTTCTCATAAGGCAGAAAACAAGATAAAAAAGAGCTTCGCATCACTTCGATACAGTGAGAAAAACTGAAAAAGTTCAGACTTTCCAAAACTAACTATCAAAATCTCGTTTTCTCTAAAAATTGTTTAAAAGCGGAAGAAAACTAAGACAGATACAAGATTAAATAGTTAGTAGATATGAAATTGTTGGATACTTTTTTCTTCGAAGGAATTTGCTAAAGAAAGCTCTATAAAGCAAGCGAAACTAATATTGATATTGATACACAGAAGCGAAGCTGAGCTTCGGAACACTGGCGACGACACAACAAGTATAGGACGAAAAAAGTATGATGCTAAAGTACCACAGAGCAGTTCGAACGATGCAACCACTGAGCAAGGAACTAAAAAAAACATAGCCAACAAATAGCTGGAAAAAATTCAATGAACACAAGGAAACAGAAATTAACATGTTTTAGAAAACTTCAACTTTCGCAATTAATGCTCTTTTTGAATTTCAAGACGAATTTATGATTGACACCTTTAAAAAAATAATAATAATTCAATTTGAGAAAACTGGATCAATCGATTAACTTTAAATTCCGCTGGGAAATTTGAAATATAGCCAACAGACCGTTGGCAAAGAGTCAAAAAAAGCAAGTTAACAGAAAAAAAAATAACTTCCTTTGAAAAAGCTCATCTTTCGGATTTTAAAGAAACAAAATGACCTTTGAATTTCTAAAACCATTTATGACTGACACTTTTTTGATTATATTAATCAAATTTGAAAAAACTGGATCAATAAGTAAGTTCTTTATTTCGCTGGAAATCTAAAGTTTAAACTCCACTTTCGAAACTATAAGTCAATCACGCTTTTGGTGACCATTACACTCTCGCTGTTCGATCGAGGAGTTTCCCTTCGTTTCAACGAAAGAAATGAAATGACCTTGAAACGAAATCAAAAGCCAAACTGCATAAATCAAAAAAGAGCGTGAACAAAACAAAAAAAATCACCAAGATCTCTATAAAACTACTCACTACGTTCATAATTTTTAATTAAAATCCACTTTCGAAACTAGAAGTCCTTTCGTTTTTTCCACCTTTCTACTTGGAGCGCGCAATTTATTTAACTTTTAGCAGATGAATTTGAATTAAAATCAAAAAGGTATATACACTCAAATGCATTCAAAAACGTATTAATATGCTTGAATGCACATCTGCAATTATTACAGTATTTTAAGACTTTTTCATTTAAAAAAACGAACAAAAATCACTAAGAATTATAGAGTCTTCACTACGTTCAATGGCTCTTAATCTATAAAATAATCTTATCATGGGCCTTTTAAGCACATAAAAAGCAAAAAGTAAGCAGCCGAAAAATGAAGATTTAAAATTGTGAAAAAGAGCATTTCAGTATTCAGAGGCGTTCAGAAATTTTATGAAAATGAGCATTTCAGTAAGAAAGTCGTTTACAAAAAGAAAAAAATCTGTTAGAAAGGTTATCCACCAGCTGTTTAAACAGGCTGAGGATAGTGAACGCCATGCAGTTGTAGAATCATTTCCGACTCGGATCGGAATCCAGATGCACCCTAAACTTTCCTAATTATCAGCGAGTTTTGACTCTTGCCCTTGACAGCCTCTTTCCCTGTCTCTTGCCCTTGACACGGCTTTACTACTGACGGCTACGTTCACTGTTTGCACACAGGCGAAGCGCAGTTTCGCAAAACTTGCGAATCAATTAAACAATTGCTTTACAAAATACTGAAAAAAATTAGGCTGGTAAAATAACATGAAAAGTCCAAATAACTCTATCTACAAAAATTTCATACCTTTGTTTGAGACGATTTTCATAAACAGATTCAACAAGCTTTGCGAATCAATGACCGAGCGGCAACTAAGGCGAAAAAACCTGGATCGACCATCGTTAAGCCGAAACTGTAGACATGAAAAAAATTCAAGCTATAAAATTTTTTGAAGTTGAAACTTTGACGACTCATCCCTCCTGAAACAGGCAAAAACATTAAAAACAAATCGACCTTAAAGCTGCGCAACATAAGTTGACTGAAGACGATACAATTAAAGCATTGCATTCCAAGAAATTGAAGAAAAAAGACAGAGGCTAATCTTCACACCACTTGCGATACAAAAGACGAACACAGCGAAGTCGAAAAAAATTCTATAATTTCGAACTAGATGGATCGATAAGGCTAGGTTTCAAACAACAACGAACCAATACAATAGACTCGTTAAAAATCTGAAATCCAATCTATAAAAAAATCTTATCACGGGCCTTTTAAGCAGATAAAAAGCAAAAAGTAAGCAGCCAAAAAATGAAGATTTAAAATTGTGAAAATGAGCATTTCAGTAAGAAAGTCGTTTACAAAAAGAGAAAAGTCTGTTAGTAAGGTTATCCATCAGCAGTTAAAACAGGCTGAGGATAGTGAACGCCATGCAGTGGTAGAATCATTTCCGACTCGGATCGGAATCCAGATGCACCTTCAACTTTCCTAATTCGACAACGGGTTTTGACTCAGAGGCAAAACGAACAGCCTCTTGCCCTTGCTAGAGACAGGGCAACAGCCTCTTTCCCTGTCTCTTGCCCTTGACACGGCTTTACTACTGACGGCTACGTTCACTGTTTGCACACAGGCGAAGCGCAGTTTCGCAAAACTTGCGAATCAATTAAACAATTGCTTTAAAAAATACTGAAAAAAATTAGGCTGGTAAAATAACATGAAAAGTCCAAATAACTCTATCTACAAAAATTTCATACCTTTGTTTGAGACGATTTTCATAAACAGATTCAACAAGCTTTGCGAATCAATGAACGAGCGGCAACTAAGGCGAAAAAACCTGGATCGACCATCGTTAAGCCGAAACTGTAGACATGAAAAAAATTCAAGCTATAAAATTTTTTGAAATTGAAACTTTGACGACTCATCCCTCCTGAAACAGGCAAAAGCATTAAAAACAAATCGACCTTAAAGCTGCGCAACATAAGTTGACTGAAGACGATACAATTAAAGCATTGCATTCCAAGAAATTGAAGAAAAAAGACAGAGGCTAAGCTTCGCACCACTTGCGATACAAAAGACGAACACAGCGAAGTCGAAAAAAATTCTATAATTTCGAACTATATGGATCGATAAGGCTAGGTTTGAAGCAACAACGAGCCAATACAACAGACTCGTTAAAAATCTGAAATCCAATCTATAAAATAATCTTATCACGGGCCTTTTAAGCAGATAAAAAGCAAAAAGTAAGCAGCCAAAAAATGAAGATTTAAAATTGTGAAAATTAGCATTTCAGTATTCAGAGGCGTTAAGAAATTTTATGAAAATGAGCATTTCAGTAAGAAAGTCGTTTCCAAAAAGAGAAAAATCTGTTAGAAAGGTTATCCACCAGCTGTTTAAACAGGCTGAGGATAGTGAACGCCAGGCAGTGGTAGAATCATTTCCGACTCGGATCGGAATCCAGATGCACCCTAAACTTTCCTAATTATACAGCGGGTTTTGACTCTTGCCCTTGACAGCCTCTTTCCCTGTCTCTTGCCCTTGACACGGCTTTACTACTGACGGCTACGTAAACTGTTTGCACACAGGCGAAGCGCAGTTTCGCAAAACTTGCGAATCAATTAAACAATTGCTTTACAAAATACTGAAAAAAATTAGGCTGGTAAAATAACATGAAAAGTCCAAATAACTCTATCTACAAAAATTTCATACCTTTGTTTGAGACGATTTTCATAAACAGATTCAACAAGCTTTGCGAATCAATGACCGAGCGGCAACTAAGTCGAAAAAACTTGGGTCGATCATCGTTAAGCCGAAACTGTAGTCATGAAAAATACTCAAGCTATAAAATTTTTTGAAGTTGAAATTTTGACGACTCATCCCTTCTGAAACAGGCAAAAACATTTAAAACAAATCGACCTTAAAGCTGCGCAAGATAAGTTGACTTAAGACGATACAATTAAAGCATTGCATTCCAAGATATTGAAGAAAAAAAGACACAGAGGCTAAGCTTCGCACTACTTGCGATACAAAACACGAACGCCACGAAGTCGAAAAAAATTATAGAATTTCGAACTAGATGGATCGATAAGGCTACGTTTCAAACATTAACGAGCCAATACAATAGAATGTGAAACATATCACGCGGTAACAAAGCCGTAAATACCTTAGCAATAACCCTTTAGGCCGAAAAAAATTTTCAAGTCCCCCACATCCTCCAAATGTGCACTCCATTGAACTCAAAAAGTGCATATATACCTAAATGCGTCAATATTTTAAGACTTTTTCCTAAAAAAAACTGAAAAAATCATCAAGACCTATATAAGAGTCTTCACTGCGTTCATTACTCTTAAACAAAGACGGAAAAAAATAAGATTACTAAAAAATTATTAAGTCCCCCTCACCCTTAAAATATATTCACAGCTCGTGCAACGACAAAATGTGTGGCGACTAAGCCGATGTAATATAGGCCAAAATCTTTTAAGACAATTAAGAAGTTATTCCCCCACCCTCAAAACACAGACACCCCACCCTGCGGGGACTACCCTGTCTTGAAGGTAGTCCCCCACCCTCAAAACACAAACTTTTTTCGCCCATCAAAAAGCGCAATATACGGCCATTAAACCGATATTATATAGGCTAAAACTAATCAAGTCGAATAAAAAAAGAAAAACAAAAAAAATTGTTGTCATGAAAAAATTGAACTATAAATTCTATTGGATGTGAACATACAATCTATGTTTCTCTCGAAACCACTCGAAATTAGGCCACTAAGTCGATATAAAATAGACCCCAGCCTATTAAGGCAAAAAAAGGACAAAAAATAACAAAAAAAAAACAATTTTAACAAATCGAGTTGGAAAAATCACAACCAACATTAAAGTCAAATTTTGAAAAGGACGGGTGCTTAAAATAACAAACTTACTTGCAACTAAGAGGAGTAGGATTTGCAAATAGGACGAAGAAAAGAGAATTTGCAAAGAGGATTTGTGAAGGAGTCCAGAAGTGAGTCCTGTCGACAAGGTTGTTTACGGGAAAAAAAGTCTAGTACCCGATTGCAATACCCTTCCTTTTCGCAAGGGTAAAAAAATAAATTAAAAATTAATTTGAAAATCTGCAAAAATTTCATACTTTTGTCTCGGGTGATATTCATAAACAGTCCAAACAAGCATTGAGAATCAATGACTGAGCGGCAACTAAGGCCAAAAGAACTTGGGTCGAACATCGTTAAGCCAAAAACAAAAGAAGAGATAAAAAAACAAAAGGTATACATCTTTTTTTAAAATTTGCGACTGATCCCTCCTGAAGCGAGCAAACGCAAAAGATTAAATGGCCCTTGAAATTGCGCACCCCTTTCAACAAAAAAAAATCAAAAATACTATATATGTACTCAAAAATAGTGTTGGTTAAATTTACAACCGACAGATCAACTTTCAACTGGAGTAAAAATTGTTCAAATCAAAAATTTTAAAACCCCAGTTTCGATTAAGAACCACTTAAGAAGCTTATCATTCAATACAAATTGAATTTAGAAAACGGAAAATCAGCCAACACAAATAAGGACGGAAGCCACAAACCCAAAAAAAATCATCATTAATTCAATAACTATTTTTGAGAAGCGAAAAAATATATACTAACCCACATGAACGAAAAAAAAGTTTTAATTGAATTTAAAAGGAGCTGGGAAATTTCTGAAGAGGAGTTGTTACACAGGCGAAACTGCGCTTTGTAAATACGAGCGAGAAAGTGCCAAATATACCGTAACTTTTAAGTACACGGCAACTCAATTTTGCAAATACACTTCGGAACGTTATGAACTAAAGGCAAGAAAACTAAGTTCGCATAAACAGAATAGAATGTATTAAGCCAAATTGAGTATAAATTATCAAAAAATCTAGCGAAGTATTTCGAGTAGAAAAAGCTTCTGAAATGTTAATCTAATTATTAGAGTATTGCATGAAACAAATAGCTTTATTCGGTTCAATTGATGAATTAAAAAAAGCATCAATTATTATAGTATTGCATAAAACAAATAGCTTTTTTTTGGTTCAATTGATGAGTTTAAAAAAAAAGCATCAATTTTGTTAACCTATTACTAATCAAATGTCAAAGCGCATGTAAATATACAGCTAATGCATCATACTAACTCAAAAAAGTCACCAGAAGTAGCACTTTCATTAACGATTTAGGTTGCAAAAAACGCTGATTAGTACTATCATACTACGCTACGCTCGTGTACAAAAAACAAAGAAGAAAAGAAAAGGTAAAAGAAGCCTTGAAAATAAAAAAACTTCTGCTATGGCGGACTCAAACCTACGACCATGAGATTTGGAGTCGCTTGTCATCGCATCTGCGCCAAGGGCCTTTGAAAGTTCACTTATACTGGCCACCAATAAAGCAGCTGAAGATACTTAAAAAAATGACTAGGCTAAGCAGCAAAAGTCACGCAATATGTAAGTGGACACACATTTTGCAAGAAGTAATTAAGAATATATAGACTTGCTATCACAAATCCGTATGGGTGCCTCCGAAATCGGCACCAACATTTGCGACTTAGCTACGGAGAAAAAGAACACTCGTACCATAAAACTACGCTGGCTAAAGCTCGCTTCAAAATTGATATACTGTTGTAGGAAACAAATAGCTTTCTTCGGTTCATTTGATACATTAAAAATGCATCAACTGTGTTAAATCATTAGTAATCAAATTGTCAAAAAACATGCTATTAAAAAATTAATTCAGCCTTTTGCTTACAAAGTAGCTTTTAAATTTGCGACTTAGACTCGAAACAAGTAGCCTTGTAGTATCACACTACCCTTCGCTTGTTTAAATAGTTTTAAATGATTTTAAATTAATTTTTCAGCAGATGCTTTTGGTCAACGTTTTTCGAACTTTCCTAAATTTCACCAGGAATAATGAAAATTTTGACGTCATAATGCTCAGGCGCGTAACCGAAAACACCAAAATATTAACCTGGCAATATATCCGCAAATTTTGCTCTGATAACTCTTCACGTTTTCCTGGGTTGAGCACCGCAGACTCTGGTCGAAAAAATCCACAGCGGCTGGAAAATCCTCTCTACTGTAGTACACCACCCCCAGATTCACAAGGGCTTGGATCTTCAATTTCACATCCGAGCAAGTTTCCGCCATGGCTAGTTGCTTCTGGTGAGCTTGCAGACTTTTTTCCGTTTCACCTTGCAGTCTGAAAACTGTTCCGAGACCGTAGTATGCTTTTGCTTGAACGGCTGCTTTGGCTTGAACTGGAAACCTGTTGAACTGGCTGCTGTCTAAGGGTCCACCAGCTCCATCGTTATCTTTCAGATCACTTCCGGCTTGTTTAGTCTGATTGAAGAATCCTATAGACTCCGAGTACCTGAATTGACTGGATTTTGTCCGGAGCAAGGTTTTAGCTAATAAATTTTTTGAACAAAAATCATTTTCATGGACTGAGAAAAATACTTCAAGTGATTAGTACACAGGTGAAAAGACGCTATAATACAAAAGTAGATTTTTTCGACAAATTTGGTAAGTTTTCAACAAAATAGTACTCGTAAAACAAGTACATTTTGTAAAATAGTTTCAATAAATCGGGTGGTCATTAGTCGGTTGAACCCCTTAAATCGGTCCCTGTCATTGTATCCATAATATATCAGTATTATTTCGTACTCCAAGATCAATTTATGTCAAACCTTCCTAGTTGGCAACTGACAGTTCCCAGATTGTAACAGGCTCTGGCCACTTCCATATTGTTCTCTAATCTGGCTGCGATATCTCGATGTTCCAGATGACATGCAAATGCAGACTCCAAATCACCCATCAACTCATGCACAACCCCTAAACGCGCAACATTTCCTTTAGAGAAGGGTTAAATTTACAACATAGGTAACAGAGAGACAAATGACAATGAAGCCAAGACCTATAAAAAGGAATGATTTGAAAGCTCTTAAAATTACTAAAATACTTAATGATTTGGCACAGAGGTGAAGCAAAAAGCAATTAAAACAAGACAAAAAGCAGCATTATAAAGTACTATAGGAAAAACTATAAATAAGCCTCGATTTACCAAAACATCTGCCACGAGATTCGAACCCGCGATCTTTTGTCCTCGATCTTTTGAACCCGCGAAAGTGTCCTCGATCTTTTGAGGGGGAAAAATGTTCTCAGATACGCTCTCAGTCTTACCACAGTACTATGGTTGCTTGCTGTAGACTGAGCACTTAGTACAATAGACAAGACAAGAAACTTGAGCTTTTAGAAACACAGCAATAAAAGTGATGAAAGGTACAAACGACGAAAATATATTTTTCTCAAATCATCATCTATCACCCCAAATTTGTTCCCATTCCACTTACTTCGTCAAATAAAGAACCCCAGTGAATACCCCAATTTGTTTCCTTTAGAAGATATGAGCTTTTTACTTTTTTTTTATATGAAGACAGGAAAAAAGAGGACAATTTTTTCGTCCGCTATCCGGCTCAAACCTGGGCCCCCGTGCTGGGAGGTTTGCGCTTATCCTCCAGACTATCTGACCGATGTACAGAAAAAACGATTTTTTTTTTCATGTTTCACTTTAATTAATCCAATTCAACCCAAATCGAAACACAGAGGCGAAACGGAGCCAGAAACTTAAAGACAACAGCAACATAATAAAAACACAAGTCGAAGCAAATTGAAAAAATTAAAATTTTCATAGTCTCGATAAAGGACAACTACAGCTGAAGGTACGCGTTAGACATTTTTGAAGTTGCTATACTGATATAGGACGAAAAGCGTAAGCTAAATAGGACTTCGACCAAAACCTAAAGTGTTTCTCTACTAAAATAAGTGAGAAGTGAAAACTTTTGAGATATTGGAATATCCCACGGAATTAACATTTCTCTTACAAAAAAGACGTCGCTTCAGCAGGAAAAAGTCTCGCAACCGATTATTTCGTGTGAACTTTTGATCTCCGATTTGATTCAAAAAAACTTTCTAAAAAAACAGTCGAAAGTTCAAAAAATTTGACTTCCCAAAATCCAAAACTTTTTTTCTACAAAAAAAATAAGTCAAGATCGCTAAATAAAAGAAAACTTCCAAAACTTGTTTCCCTGATTGATCACTTAACCTGAGCATTAGCTCGGTAGTTTTCTAGCAACGTCAAAAAGTTTTCAAAAAAAGTTTTAAACTATTCCGAGGGCCATAAATGTTTGAGCTAAAAATTTGAGCGTAATCGCTTTCGCAAAGAAGCTTACCACAACCCGCACTTTGAATTAAAATCAAATTTTCAGAAAAAAATTTAAAACGGTCAAAATATTTTTTTTAAATGACTGTTCTGAGGACAATAACTTTTTCTTTTAATTAATTTATGAAAGACCGCAAATGCAGAGGAGCTTCATACTACCCGTTATCTCCACTGAGCCAACAAAATCAGATTTGAAAGGTTCGTTTCAGAGAAAAATTAAAAACTAAAACGGACCAAACAACCAAAAATTTGACTATTTCGAGGGCCATAACTTTCAGTGTAAAAAAAAATTGGGCGTAGCCGATTATGTAGGAAAGCTTTGCAAAACCCGTTCAATTCATAAAAACTAAAATCTCAGATTTGTTGGGTAGCTTTTAAGAAAACAAAAAATCAAATATGGATCAAATATTCACCCATAGACATTATGGAAGAGGCATAAAACCACTATACCCAATAAAAATAAAAAAAAAACAAAAAATGTCGAAGAAACTAGATCTATCAAATTTAATTTACCTAGTCATCAACAAAACACAAAAAGACAATAGAAGGTATAATTAAAATCTGAAGAAAACTTACCAAGCGGCAACAAGGTCAATAACACCCGAGAGCAGAACATCTTTAACAGTCGAAAAAAATTTCAATTAAGACTTAAAAACTAATGAAAAAAATGTCAAGTCCCCATACCCTCAATTCACACACACACACACACACACACACACACACAAAAAAAAAAAAAAAAACTTTTTTCGCTGATCAAAAAACACAAAATGAGGCCAACAAATCTATATAAAATCGGCCAAAACC